GTATGGAAAACTAAGTATACGTGCATAAAATTGCATAGAAAATCAATAAAGAGAGGACAGAAATTAACTATAAAATCCAGATTTATCGGAAAAACCGTCAAAATAATCGAGAAAAATCTATGATTTATCGCATTTAAACGTACGATTATCGTTTTGATAAATCTCAATTAGTCGTCAATTTTTTACCGATTTTGAGAACATCAGATCTCATTTTTTCAGAAACCAAGGTATTGTTGATGCTTCTGTATTATATGTGTCCAATCCATGTAAATAAAACATACACAAAATAACTCCACGGAACACATTTAGTGCACCCAAGACCAAACCGATCAAAGTCAAATACAATCTGCTATCATTGTCTCTAACCTGGGTCACCAATGTAAAGACTTGAACCATTTCAGCAATAATAGGCATGAAAAAGAATACTAATAATAAATAAAGTATAATGCTGGGCTTACATCGATTCCAAAGCCATAACATATAGAATGCAAATAAACAAGTTGCCAGAATTAGATATGAATTAGGATGGTCATAAAACCAATATACGATACCGATAAGAAAATAACATGAAAAACTCACACAACAATAGACAAATTCTGGCCACATTTGTGAAACAGAAGACATTGTCGCTCGACTATGGTGTGTATTAGAAGGTTTGCTTATTGAGAAAAACTACATGTTTATATAATGTATACATAAATGACAACGTGGCACACTATGAAAGGCTTATAAGTCATCATGATGAATGTTTGCAGAACAATCGGTAAAACAAAATGTTGTTCTCTTGAATTGCACAATCATAGTCCATTTAATTTTCTCAATTATCGTGCGAGCATAGGAAAAGTTCGCTTATCATGTTTTTTACTCTTTGTCCCTTTTGATTTTGTTTTTACCTTGTTGATGTTATTTCCTTTCTTATTTACGAAAAGAAACACATTAATACAGGAAAGATGAAGAAGCTAGACTCGTCCTATTCTCTCATTATCAAAACAACCCAGGGACTTCGAAAATGAAACAAAAATGCCATTTAAATGATGAAACAGACATTCTTTTTTGTGTTTTTCAATTTCATTGAGGAAAACGGACGATTCCATCAACATAATATCACAACTTTGATTAAAAATCAAATCCATGAAATGTCTTCGATGAAACTGTTCATTTTCATCGATGAAATTTAATATCACGAAGAATAATGTCCGTTTCATCATCAGAAATACCAGTTTTTCCATGTTTTTCACGAAAAATTCACAAAAATCACGTTTTTTTTATTTTTGAAGGCACTGAGAATCATGCAAAATGAAGTAAACTACGTTTAAATAAATAGAAATTAAGTTTGCCACAAAAAAGAATTTTTTGTTGATGAATGATGACTGTTTTTAAACGGTTTATGTCATTTTTGATCGGATAAGTCGAGTACGGTGTGTATGTAACAACTGTTTTTTAAACTGAAAAGACGACCTGAGATAAAATTAGGTGCTGTCTATTCAAAGATACTCTAGTTTTCTATAGTTGATGTCTTATTAATGAGAAAAATAAAGCAGAAGAATATTTTTTCCATCTTTTTAGTATTGATCTATTGCTTTTTAAATAAAAAAGAAGACAATATCCAATAAAGAAAGAATAGATGAAAAGGCAAAAGAATAAGGAACGTGATAAACCAGCATCTCTTATGCTAGTAAAATGATTGAAAAAGATAAATGAAAGAAAGGATATAGCTCTTAGAAACAAATAAGCTTAATTATATGACCACTTTGTATACATGCTCTCGTGGTCAACAAGCAAACCTGAAGTATCACTCATTGCACAATAATTCACACAGTTCTGTTACCATCACTAAGACGTTCCATTATGAACTCATAACATCATCAGTCATTGAAAATCAAATAAATAAAAAATAAAAATGAAGAAAGGAGGTTTTTTTCTTACTATTTAGTTCATTTTCAATAACATATATTATAAGTTCATGACGCAAAGTCTCAATAATTGTAACAAAAATTCTATCGAATATGCTTCTATTTATATTTAAATGTTTTCTCATTGTGAAAAAATGAAATCAATTAACTTTGTTGCATCAGCACATCATTTTTGTTCAATATACTAATTTGATAAACATATAAGCACAAATCTAGTTTTCTGTTTAAAGTTCTTTTTTTGAAGAATAAAACATCGGAATTTTCGTTTCTTTTCGAGTGTTAGCTGATGATTATCGTTGCAATCACTGACGACTGATATTTATATCGAAAATTGGGAATATTAAACGTGCGATCGGAAATATTTAAAATTTATTCTCATCTTTAAATTATAAGGTTGAGCCAGCTAAAAATCATTTGAAATTATCTAAAAGTTTGATAAAAGACATTGAGTTCTTTTGTGCTACACAAAAACCTGATACCATAAGAATCGATGGTTCTTCTGCAGTTTATTCATACCCTTATATTGATTGCTACATTGAACGCAGCAATCAGTGTTAGGGTGAGAGCAAGAGTGTGACTAAACTGCAGTAGTACCTTCTCATCGACTGTGTTCTGTCACTGTTTGTGACTTTCAATCGATTGAATATAAAGATCATTGCACGACGGAAAGCAATTTCTCTCGACAAGTGTCAATCGCGACGTAACTCTATTCCGTTTCTTAAATTCAACTTCAATAGACGACTTGCAAAAAGTCTTATTTCATATTGATGCTGCTCCTCAACTTGTAGACAATAGACCATTCACTAATATAACTCCACATAGTCAATTTCTTAACGAAGAAGAAGTTTTCATCATGTTGGGATTGATTTTTCAACTTATTGACACTCATTATGGCGCAGATCATTTGTATATCATTCGAATAAAATTATGAAGTGATAATAATGATGATTTGAAGACTGTCATTGAATAGATAAAGACACATAATAGTGAAGGTAATGAAGAAATGACGAGTCTTCACCTGTTTGACAATGTACTCAGAACGATGGGCAGATTTAATGAATCTAAGAAGTATTATCGTCGTTTGCTCAATAAACTGCCTTTTCTCGAATGACACCGGAAATCGCTCAAGATCAAATGTCAACACTGGACGCAGATGATGTTCATATTGCAAACAGCTACTACAGTATTAGAAGTGTCTACTACTATGAGGACAATCATAAGCAAGGATTAGAATCCTACTACAAGGTATTGGTGATACGATAGCGAATATTTGGCGAGAATCAGCTAAGCGTACGTGTCTATTTCAATAATATAGGTGTCATCTATGAGAAAGAGAAGATATATTAGGAGGCATTCGAGTATCATCACAAAATATTGAACATTCTTCAAAAATGTATATCGACTGATCAACCTGTACTTACTGCATTGTACGGTAACATTGGAGATGCATATCAAAATTTGTGTCAGTTTGATCGCCCATTAGAATATTACAATCTGTCATTTGAAATCTATCAAAAATGTTTTCTTCTTCAGCATCTCAACATTGCAGAGATATTAAATAACATAGATCTCGTTTACGAGAAGAAGGACGAATTAGAACATGCACTATCATATTTAGAAAAAGTAACGAACATCGATGGTCATGCGATTCTTTCTATGCATCCTCGTCTTGTTCATACTAGGAAAAGCATTCAATGTATTTTGTCTCAACTTAAATAATATTCTCTTGATTCCACTATCAGTAATTAGACACATATTTCGAAATAGTTTAGTCTTTATCTTGAAAGTTCATGTATTCAGTATCAGTTATTTCAAAATTTTCTTCGAATAAAAAAAGTGACCACGCTACAATGTAGATCAAATAATCTGATTGTCAGTGCGATAATATGAGCAGATGATAAAGATTAGGTATGTGTCACAATGGTCATCTAAGCTAGAAAATGATCTTATGATTGTTGACAGGAAAAATCGGCGATGAAAAGTAAATTTCTACATTTAACTAACAAGAAATAGACTAGTGAATGAAGGACTTTCATACTGTTGTTGGCACCAGAATTAAATATGGGGTGGTATAAGACGAATATCTCGAGAAGGCAACAGCTAGTGATCGGCGACTTTCGCTAATCGAAAGAGATTGAGTTAGAACATGTTTTGATATAATATTATGCAAGATGAAATCATTACTTCACCATTGTGTTTTGAGAATCTTTCCAAAAAATGTATAATAATGCAATGTAGTTCCAATGAAATTTTCATTTTAACATATATATCAGATAGAGGAACTTCAGCTCTGTAGTTCAAGATATAATGTGAATGGTTATCTTCTCACAGTCTAACAATGAGTAAATGAATTCGCCGATTTGTTCGCAAAAATAATAGGAAATTGCGTTGATTTTGAACCAAGTTTTTCTTACATTTTATTAAAATGGCTTGTTGTTTCAATGAGAATTTGATTAAAAATCAATGCAATCCCCTATTATTTTTGCGAACAAATCGGCAAATTCGTTTACTCATTGTTAGACTTTGAGAAGATAATCATTTGCATTATATCTTGAACTACAGAGCTGAAGTTTCTCTATCTGATATATATGTTAAAATGAACCTTTCATTGATATTATATATTTTTTGGAAGGATTCTCAAAACAGAATGATGAGGTAATGATTTCATCTTGCACAATATTATACCAAAACATGTCTTAACTCAACCTCTTTCGATTGGTGAAAGTCGCAGATCGTTAGCTATTGCCATTCTCGAGATATTCGTCTTACACCAATTCACATTTAATTCTGGTGCCGACAATAGTCAAATTGAAAAAAAAAACAAAATGACAATGATCAAGACGTTTTAATACAATTAATCCGATGAACGAATATTCTTCTCTATGACTAGTATTAAGTTAAATCTTATCGTTTTTTTTTCTTATGTTTTTTATTCGACATGAGAAACTATGCACGCTAAAGTTCAACAAGAACAAAAAGAACAGATCAAATAAAGCGCAGGAAAACACGTGTTGTATGGAAATATTGTCTGAAATAGTTGCTTATAGAGAAAGAGTCCATTGGATCATGCACGTTTGACAAAGATGTTTAATGTTGCTGACTGCTGCCACCACCAGCATGAGTAGTTGATCCACCGCCACTTGTAACTGTAATGAAAGAAATGAAACAATTAAAAATAAATTCTGATTCAATCACGAAATTGGTTTTACAGGTACGTGTCTTATCGGACGATTATTCTGTTCATTTTTTTACTAAAATATGAAAAAAAAACTGGTCGATTTTTCCGTAATTATATGCAATAGTATCACTGTTAGTGAGCCTCTATTGTATTTCAATTCGAATAGACTGTGAATTTCAAGAATTTTATGAGAAAATATCCTTCTTTTTATTTGTCGTTCACTTCAAAAAAAAAAAGAAAGAAAATTCGATGGCGAAGAAAATCAAATGTGACACTTACTTGATCCACCACCAGAGCTGAATAGTCCACTACCACCACTGTGTGTACCACTTTGTCCAGCTTTGTGTGACATACCAGGATCAGTCGAACCTCCGTGTCCTTGACCACTCGATCCACCCATACTACCGGTTTGACCAGAAGTACCAGCTCCGCCAGAACCTCCCATGGACGAGGAACCTGCATGTCTAGCTGTATCGTGATTACCAGATGACGACATCGGATTTTTTTTGTTGTACAGTAAGAGATATATTGTCAGATACTTGTTTGAAAGTGTTGGTTATATTGACTGAGTGCAAAATGTATCTTATATAGTACTGTTGGCACGTAACTACCAACGCAATTACAAAAAAAAAGAAGCGAAATATTTTATCAAGCGAGGCAAGAGAGTAGAAATGAGAGAGAGAGAGAGAACATCGCCTATCGTCGTTATGAATGTTGTGATCGTTTTTTTCTTTTCTTGAAGAAAAGGTCATTGAGTACGAATTCATTTTTGATCTAGAACTACAGAGATGAATGAGGTCATTTTCTCGCTTCTACATTTTTTGCTTGTTGTTTGTCATTCTTCCAAATAAGAAGCAATGTCTGAAATAGACCTTTGCAGCAATACAGTCTCTTCACATAGTGCTTTGCTAAATTCAGTAAAATGATCTTGAATTGAACTTATTAAATTCAATAGAACGCATATCATTCGAAATTGAACGTTAATGAGGTATTTTCTCAATTGGATTGATCTGTATTGATATATTTAACGTTTGCAATATCAAAAATTCATTCGAAAGTACTTTCACTAAGTGAAAGAATATTAGAAAACAATTCAAACTTTTAAACAATGAAAAATTTGATGTTTTTTATATGGTATAAATCAATTATTCAAAAACCTTTGAGCATCTAATAGAAGCAGATTTGTTTAACCAAGATACTTTGAACTTCCCCTTATTCTTGACACAAATTTGAGAAGAAGATTCTGTTGAATAATGAGAAAGTCTTCTATGACAAGTGAGAGTCTTTTACAATAAATAGTGAATCCGATCATTATTGATAATAATTACTTGACAATAAACACTTGAATACATTAAAGAGGAGTCATTGTTACAGAAAATTTCATTTATAGTCTGTTGACCGATAGTTAACTCGTTTGCACGGATCAATATTTAATTTTACATTGTTTATTTGAAAGATTTTATCTGAATGATATTGAAAATCAGAGACAAATATTCGACATACGAAGATACCGGATATTTTGCTCTTCAAAATGCTGTTTTAGTGTGAATTCAACTTGTTGACATTATCGAAGATATTATTCCATAGAATGTGACTTATCGAATAGATTTCTTTTGTATTTTGTACACTATCGAAGCTTTGTCAAAGTACAATATTATTGATTTTCCGAATAGATAGACTTCTTTTACCTTTTCTCGTTCAATAATGTGATGTCAATGGTAAACATCGGTGAAATGGATGAAATAAAATAACCGATTAGATAAAACTAAGAATTTTCAGCTAATATTCTTGGCATCTGAATAAAACTGAAATAATTAAACAAAGAAATAAATCGATGTTTTGTGCGATGTTGAACTTGTTCGCGTAGAAATTCCTTGTAGAATAGTGTTTACCGAACAATTGAATATGTTCAAACGACAAACACGATGAGAATCAATGTTGAGATAGGATCAATCGAAAATGAAACAGAGAAATGTAAAAATCCAGTATCCAATCATACATTTGTAATGATGATGTATGCTGTTCGATGGAATATGAAATCATTGTTACATCGTTACAAATGTTTGTTGAACAATTAATTCAACATTGTCAATAATCCATTTTCGTTCAGTTTTGTAGGTTAAGATAGGAAAATTTCAGATGGATAACAAAAGACTTCTTTTAATTTATCCAAAAAAAAAAAAAGAATGTATTTTCGAGCAAGTCAAATGTCTTAACAATAGTCAACATCAGGTTTTGTTTCGAAAAAATTGTTTGTCAACAGGATAATACATGAGTGTTGAAACATATCGTGAGAAAAGTGATACATCTCCCTTCTTGCCTTTGCACAGACTGTAACAAACCAGTTGATATGACAAGAAAAATGGGAGTTCCTGAACTTTTAACTTATGGATTTTTATTTTTGGAATTTTAATTTGATTTTTTGTGGATCTTGAATAGATTTGCCATTGCAAATATAAGAAAGTCTGCTTCTTTTTCTCATGTTGATACAGTTGCTAGTGAAGTTTTAAGCCTATCATCAGAAGCTACTTTCTACGTCACTTGCTGTTACATCAAAAATCGTTTTTTTTTCATGATAGTGAATTATTGATGGATAATAATCGATGTAGTCCAATCCAAAATAAGAAATCAAAAGCAGACATAGAAGATCGAAGCTCAGATGAATTTCTTGTAGACGCCATGATCAATTAATTGTACGAAGAACATTGAGATTTACTGAGTCGACAGCTTTTCAGATCGCTTGCTGAACAATTAATACACACATCTACAAGTACTTAGGGGTATCCAAAAGTAGTGGCAACGACATTTTAGTACCACTTAGTAAGCTTGATAAAAGTTTCTTTTTACACAGGATGATAGAGAAAAAAATTCTCTTTCTTTCTATGCTATTTGATCATACTTCACATAATATAATGGTAATAAATTTCCAGTAAGATTCGTTTCGTTATCATTCGTGCCCGTCATACTGGTTTATAACGAGTAAGACAGATTAATTTTCCGTCCCTTAATACATTGCATCAATGATCGAAACATACCGTAAGATGCAGCACGAAAAGCTCTACAATTTACATAAGAGCACTTACTCCATAGTTGTACTTTTTGTTTTCAAAGTGGACAACATTTTGAGAGATCAGATTTTGAGCATTGCAAAGGTTGATCGCATAGAAATGTGTTCTTTTTGAAAGCAATTACAATCAGTTTTACTGTGCAGATTGTACAGCTTTTCACGCTGCATCTTGTGTGTGTTTTACTTTTCTTCTGATAAAGCATTTTCGTAATGGAACGATGACATAACAAAAAATGAATTCGTTATGTATCAAAAAAGTTATCTTTTCTCCATGATAGACGCTTGAGCGCTAAAAGTTTGTCCATTCTAAACACATAAAGTGCAACTATAAAATACGTAGTAATATGTGGATTGTAGAGCTTTTCACGCTGCATCTTTTAGTATACTCTGCTTCTTAATACCGCACACAAAAAAATTGAAAACTGCAATGCAAACTTATAACGGGCACGAGTGATAATGAAACGAATCTTACTGGAAATTTATTACCATTATATTATGTGAAGTATGATCAAATAGCATAGAAAGAAAGAGAATTTTTTTCTCTATCATCCTGTGTAAAAAGAAACTTTTATCAAGCTTACTAAGTGGTACTAAAATGTCGTTGCCACTACTTTGGGATACCCCTAAGTATATCTCCACATTCTAGCACTGTAGTCATCAAACATCCTTGTTGGACAAAGACATCCATATTTTCTGTAGACATTTCTAAAACACGATATTCATTATATCTTTATTCATCGAATCTTACTTCAGTCTGTTCTACGGACAACTATTTTATGATTTTTCAAAAGATTTAAATGTAATTTCAACTGTGTTACAAAATTGAGAAGGGGAAAACTTCACTTGAATATAAGATTTTTCAGTTAACACTATGGTTGACAATCATCTGAGTTGTCTATTTCTATCAGCTAATGAACGTGAATCGGATAGAATAATTTGTAATTCTTCTCTGTATATGGTATCAATATTCTGATTTAAATCAAAAGAAATAGTATAAGAGTAAGAACGAATCAAAAGTAACGATATTTACAAGAAAAGTTGTTGTGATGATGAAATTGTTATACACATTACTTCTTTTTTTGTATTCTCAGAACCAATTGATATGCTGTTAACAACATTAAGAAACTAAAACCGAATCGAATTGTTAAATATTTTTCAGATGAGTATTGATTATTCGAACCTATTCATCGTCGAATTTCCTCGTGGAATGTCAGAAGATTATTGATGTCAATCATCATAACAACGAAAATCTTGTAGTCGAACCACATGCGATAGGAAATAATCTAAGCAACGATCAAAACTCTATAGAGACACCAAAATTATCGACAACAAATGATGATTAATCAGTTGCTCAGCTTCCAACTGTGCTCAACCATGTAATCAATTCGAACCTTTCATTTTATGGAGTGTGGATGTGAGTCAAGGCAAAACTCACACGTGCACCTATACTCACAGCCTTATACTCCACACCTACACCTATACCTGCACTCTCTCACTTGTTGTGGAAAATTCGACTAGTGATAACAGTTAATTTGCATAAGACAATCAAATTGAAACGATAATCGACGAATATCTTTCTCGACTTCGGTAATTCTATTTCGATATTCAGACAAAGTGTAATGTTGATACGAAGACAACATTCATCTATCAAATCTACTTTCCATCTAATTTCTTCTCTTCTAAGACTTTTGTCAGACTCAATAGACATTGATCGATGGCGTGTCGATACTTGTACACAGTTCCGTGATCATTCAAAGTGCTGTGTATATAATTTAATTTACTTCAAGAAACTATCTTAGCTGAGATAGGAGGTAGAATGAACAAATAATTTTTCGACACAATGCATGAAAATTGCAAGTCGTATTTTCCTTCCTTCCTCGTTTAATAGAATGTAGACTGCACATCACTGACTATACCTATAGTTGTTATCACTATAATGTTATCATTGATGTAGAACTCTCTGCGATTCTATTTGTCTTTTCTTTTCTGATTCATTGGGTTGTTAAAGAGATCTAAACGAACGTGAGACATACACTTCTGTTTTTATTTTCCCGTTATTTTCATGTTTGTATCTATTGGCACAGATAGAAACGTTATGGCTTAAATGAACTGAGACGTTTATTTGTCATTGTGAGCTGAAAACTGCCAACAATCGGAACTTTAAAATTAAGAAATAATGTAGATAAGGACAATATCACATTTTGATCTGTTGGAGTTGATCAAAGATGAGCGTAAAATCATCAAAAACGTTTCTTCTAGTTTATTATTAAAGAAATAGGCGAGAATAAGTTACATAGCTGAAAATTAATGACGAAAAATACGATGTTTATATATGTTTTTCAGTTATTTCGAACCACTTGATTGATAGTTCGGATTATTTGAATTTAGCTGGTTTGCATGATTGTCCAAATCAGCTTTATCACCTGTGCCTGTATAGCCTGATTCATGACCACGATTTTCAGCGTTGTTTGGATTGCATTGGTTCGATTTGTTGTCATTTGCTGCTTTATCGACAGCTGTAGATGATGATCCTTGACTGGAGGACATCTTAATACAAATTTATCAGATAGGTCAGATAAAGTTTAGCTATAATTTCTGCTTACTTATTTGAATTTGGTTTTGTAGAGTGAAAAAGAAATGAATATTATAGAAGAAACGATCATTTACGCACCGTATTTATAGTATGAATACACTGGGTTTTTTCCCACTCAGCCGCTTCATATGAAAATAAAACTTTCTCGCCTATATTTTTCTTTTTTCCAATTCTGTAATCGTGCCTGCAAGTAAGAGAATAATAACCTATGAGCAGAATAGTCCTATTATTAGAATAGGTCATGAAGTTTACAAAAATGAGTAACTGCCGACATTGTTACATGTGCTTGAATTTCGTTTGAAAAAAAAAACGTTGGCAAAATATGTGAAAAAAAAAAGAGCGGATTCAATAACAATAAACTGAGTAATGATACAACAGTCGTTTTTGATATTTAAAAATTTGTTTATTGAATTTATATGAAAAAGTAAAGGTTTGGTGCATGTGTTGAAAGTACTTCTAATAGCAGCGTGTTCATGAAAAGTTTCAAGATATTACAATTTATATTTTTGCACTTCAAACTACACTCTTCGAATAGAACAAAGAAAAAGAAACTATTATTTTTATTTTAGCTTGAACTGAACGTAGATGTGTAATTCAATATTTGTTCTAGTTTTTTTTTCAAAATATGAAGAAATAAAATATTTGTCTGTAAATTTTTTTCGAATATTTCAATCTATCCAATTGGTAGTGAGCAGGAAAATGAATATTAAAGAAGAAATAATCGTTTACATGCTGTATTTTTAGATACAAATACACTGGGTTTTTTCCCAGTTCTCCAATAAAAACACATGCAGCTGGCATCATTCTTTTCTTTCAGAACTTTTTTCATTAGAATAACTTGTAGAGTATAGAAATGAATTACTATTCTGGTCAACAGACACACTTTGTAGACACTGAAGTTTAGAGCTAAAAAGGCAAGAAATGCCATTATTTTTAATCAATATAATTTAAGATACTATATCGTTTTACTCGTGTATAATAAATCTTTCAAAAACGAGTAGAAGAAACTCATGCAATTTTGAACAAATATATTTGTCGATCAAACATAAATTCTTTCGAAAACTCATTTTTATGTAATGTGTCAAGGACAAAAACAATGACGTCAATAGATTTCATTTCTAATATATCGAATCATTAGTCTTACCGTCCAATGTTCTTATTAATTTCATTATATACATGCGCTCGCCTATTTTGTAATCGTCAATGACTATCAAAGTATCCGAGAAAATGATGAAATGAAAGTAAATGACATAACAACTGTAATTTATTTTGTTCAGGCAGATCAAATCTATGTTTTGTTTCTGTCAGTGAATAATCAATTTCATCATTTTCATGTCACCTATATGCAGTATTGGCTAAAACTATAAGATCACTATTTATTCAAGTGCTAAATACTTATTAAAACGCATTAAGATTTCTACGAAATATATATTCTAGCTGTGAATAGGAAGTAATCTGTCGTAAGAATCGATTTGAAATTGTCGGAATTCAGTATTTAATACTTTCTTGGATTTGACTGATTGCTATTTCTGATCTCTATTGCACAAAGTCACTAAAACATACTTGATGAAATGATGGAACAATTTTGATAAAAATTGTGTAGCGGATAGAACTTTTGGTACATGAACATTGCAACGTATCACTATATTACCTTTCAAGTTCTTCATATTGTGCTTGTGTTACAATCTTCACAGTTTTACTCTTGATTTCTATACCCAAAGCGGTGTAGATTGAAAGTATCAACATCGCAATAACAAGTAAACTAAGAAATAGACGGATAGAAAGTAGTGGTGCAACCAGATAGGAGCCAGAGGGAGCTCAATCCCCTCAACAAACGGTAGAGTTCTGTTGAAACGTGCTTGAGCCCTTTTACGATTTTTTTTCTGACTACGCCACTAAGTTTATTCCATTGATTCATAAAATTCGTGCCTTTTCGAGGTCTCTATCTGTCTAGATGTTGGAGAGAATTATTATCGCGTAAGGCTTATAAAATCTCTCAATACTTTTGCTGCTGAATGGCATTCACACTCACGATGGTTGTTGAAAAACGAAGTTGTTACTTCCTCTGTTACATAAAGTCAGGGTTTCTCTAAATTCACCATCATACCATCATATGGTGAAGACATAGAAAATATTATCCTTGCGAGGTCTATTAATGTGATTATTTCTAACAACAAATATTCTTCAATAAGATCATTTGTATAAACGCATTATACTAAAAAGGATAATTTTATTTCTTTGAAAAGAACAAAAATAATTTTGTGATAAATATCAAGAGACAGATAGACAGACAGACAACATTGCATTGAATAAGTTATGTCAAATATAGATATATTATCTATTTTTCAATAGCTCGTAAATCTCCTTTGGTATTTTTAGTAGTGGCTGTTGAATGAGACTGAATTTGATTATTGATGAATAATTGACATGAAAAAAAACATTTTTGCTTCTTGTCTAAATGATTTTGATGATGCAAAAAAGACAAAAAATGGACATGCAAATGTTATGTAAAAAATAAGTGGAAAAATATTGGCAAATAAATTTTCAATATTTTTTTTATCTTGAGATTTAATCATAGTTGTAGTAAGCAATGTATATTCTGTAAATGCAATATATGGTAATATTGTAAAAAGTAGTATTGGAATTTGCATAAGCATCATTGATGTTAATTGTTTTTGAAGTAATTGACGTTGACGATTTATTTGTAATGTGTTTATATTTTTATATGTCATTATACCTATTATTACAAGAATTAAACTTGGAAATAAGCCAGTGTAAATAGGAAGTGTAATATACATTCGATAATTAGTAAATTCTTTATTTGGAATAAATGAACAAGATATTAAACCTGTAGTTAAACTTGGTAAAAGTTCTGCATAAACTAAATAAGGAACAGAATGACCGAACCAAAAAATAATGATTA